TCGGCCGATTCATCGATTTTTAAAATAATCGTTAGTTGCAGCCCTAATTTAAACTATTCACTAGTGCATTAAATGCTCAGCTTTCTTTGCACGTTGTGTTTGTTCCGTTTGTTTGGTTTTAATGTGGCCCTCTGGTTCATATTTTTACAGAACATTACCATCTCTCTCAACATCTATCGAGGAATCAAAAATCTCCTGGAGTCATACCACTGCCCAGAGCTAATTAAGGTACAGATTCTGACCTCTCCGTTTCTGTTGCTCTGCAGTTTAGATTGGATGATTTTCTTTGACCAATTTTACCTTATCCTTTTTAAGAAGATTTGTCAAACTTTTCTAAGATGTGCTGAATAAAATTTATTTTACTTTTTTTCCAATATGATTTAGTCATGTAACTCCCTGTGGTTATTCAGTAGTAGCCTTTTGCCTTTAAAACATCAGGAAATAGTTGAAAATTGATAAATAGCACCTAAGCATGAAGTAGTCCTAATACTTTAGTTTCTAAGGTTAACTTTGTGAAATAGTTTGTTCCCAGCAGTAGAAATGGCAGCATCTGACTGTGTTATGTTCTGCAGGACGTGATCGCGTTGGTTGACCCTAAGGAAAGAGAATCTCTGTCTGCTGTTCCTCGGGCTGCAGTAAGTAAACATGATGAAGGAAACAACAGAGATGAAGAATTACTTCTGATTTATCTGAGAATAAAATGAATGTTAAGAGGATAAGGGTGAACTTCTGGATTTGCACACTTCATAGTTTTGCACTCAATCGTAGATATGGGTTATTTTGATTATGGGCTTTAATGCTGGCTTTCAAGTGTTGAATGAGTATTAAACAATTCTGATTTTATGCTGTTACAAATAGCAGGTTCCATTTTGTTTTGTCATAGGCTACTATGGTAAGCATACAATGTAGCAGGCATTCAGATTTTTCTCTACTACGCTTATCATCCTTTCACTGATTTGAAGGCTTCCTTCCCTAGGGCTTTTTCCAGCGTACTTGATGATAATCATAATAATAATTGAACATTCTTGATCTCAGACTGGAGAAATTCATATCTGCATTTAACCCATCCCCTTTGGGAGCAGTGGGCTGCCATTGTGCAGCACCCAGAGAGCAATGTGGGGTTAAGGGTCTTGCTCATTGACCCAGAGTGTAGGATGTGGGGATCGACCCGGGTACTTGCAGCCTTCTCAGACGACAAGCGCACTACTCCAACCACTAGGCCAACACTCCCTACACCACAAACTATGGTTATACTGAAATAGATTTAAAAAAATAATGAAATTAGGCCAACAAAATGAGTTTAAACGATACCAACAGCTGCTCTTTAAACTAATTTACCTCCTTATTTGCACCTATATGTTAGAAAACTGCAGTGAAAATAGGAACCCAACGCCCTTTACATTCACCCTGAGCGCTTGCAGGCAGGTGAACTCGTGCTACCGCCTGCCAGCAGACAGATACAGGTTGAAAGCAGGGGATGGTGACCAGGTTCAACAATCAGATCCGACCGATGGGCAGTGTTTTTTTTGTTTTTTTCTACCCAATAAGACGCGCCATTGCTGCGCCGGCGTGTAGTCTCCTCACCTCTGCTGCGGGTGGATCAAAGCATCACGTCTCCAGGTCAAATTTTGGATATTAAGTAGAGATATGAATATCGCCTCCAATATGGAGAAAGGATTGAAAGTAATATCAGCTTGCTTATTCAGAAAAGGCCTATCCCAGTAGTCAATGGCATAGAGGCTTTGGTTACACCGCGGACGGTCTGCCAGTCCAGAACCCTTTGGGTCTTCTTCCAGAACCCTTAGGAATAAATGTGATGTTGACATGTGCAGTTGATTAGAGTGGGCTCCAGAGGACCCTTTTCTACAAGGTTACTCAGATATTTTTCACGATAAAAGTCTATCGATTCCTCTTTGTTTTGCAAGGCGAACCTGCAACCTGTAATCAGTAACTAACTAATATAAAGTAACTATAACTAATTTAAAAGCCTTGGCCTAGTCAAAGTAGAATATATTCATAAGCATGTATATATTTCAGAATGCATCTGTAATTTTGAGACTGGGAAAATCAGAAAATATGTCATAAACAAGAAGATGTTTAGTTGTTTAAGCATCATAATGGTCTGCCTTGTAAAAAAAAAAAAACAGTTTCGAATAAATCATCAAGAGCCCCAAATTAGAAAGATTTTCATCCTCAGGATGAGTGAATCTAACCCTATGATAAAATCTGTATTACTACAAGCTCATGTAGTTATGAGGTTGTGTTTTGGTTTTATATGTAACACACATTTGTCTCATTCAGGGAGTTGAAAACAAAGTTTTGGCCCTGGAGAATAAATTGGCTGAACTGAAAGCGGAGAACAAACCGCTGAGCTCCGTTCTCAAACAGGCCATCCTGGCTCTGAGTGCTGAAGAGGTACACTTTCTTTTTCATTTTTTTTTTTTCTGTGTCAGAGTTGTAGCATTTGTCAGTGTTTGTGTATTTCTAAGAGTTTGGTTGTCTGATCAGAACCTACAGCGTGCCCTTGAGCTGAAGCAGCAGCACGAAGAGGAGATGACAGCCGGGGCTTACGCCACCCTCATCAACCTGTGCTGCCGCCACAACAATGTGGAGGAGGCGCTCAACCTGAAGAGGGAGATGTGAGTGCAGCAGGAAATGCACACATACACACACTGCACTCCGGCCAGTTTTGGGCCATTAAAGTTTAACTTGAGTGGTATTAGGGGAGACGTTAATGCAGGGTCCAGCCGCTCTGTTGGCGAGATGAAACACAGGAAACTCTCCTCTTCCTCCTCCTCCTTCATCACCATCTGCTTCCAGCATTAAACAGAACTATGAGCTGCATTGCTGTTAGCAGAATACATTAATCAAGGTGCGCTTCCTCTGTCTCCCGCTCTGTTTTCAGGAGTCGTAAGGACTCATCCGTGGCCTTGGATCCCAGTAAATACATCATACTGGTCAAGACGCTCTCTGTGAATGACAAAGTTGAGGGTAAGTCGCCAGAATCCATATCTCAGATTGGCTTTTGCTGTGAATGGAACCTTAAGGTGACCTGAACATGTTAACATAAGTAAAAATACCAAAAATATACAGCAGAGAAATTCAAAAAAACATATATATGAGTGATGGTGACCTGTTTAACTGGCTGTGCTGTGACCCTTAGTGATACTTTATGGTACCTGATGCTAAAGATTTTTTTTTGATTATTTACCAATTATTAAGAAATAAATGAATGGCATCCCTGAATTACAATTAAAAATAAAGATGGTTGATCAATGTTTTTGGTTTTATTTCCAATTAGCTTGTAGCTGCTGATACTCCTCTACCACGCAGACTTTTTGAGTCTCTCTGCTGTTTTCATTAAAGGTATTGTGGAGGTTTTTGGGGAATTTTTTAAAAGACCCGCCCTCTCCACTTAAAAAAAATAAATAAAAATAAAAGCACATGCACAACCCTGTACCCGCACCTGAGAGGGAACACCTATTAAACGCTTGCGAGAACATGCACGGGCCCATTTCTAAAATTTCCTGTTCTCATAGCTCATACAAGCTTACTGTGCCCAAATGTCCGCTCTAACCCCTAAATCCCTCAATCAGTATATATAGAGCGGGGACTATATAATGGACTTTATAACAAACTCAGTTAAGTAACTGTTCAGGCAGAGGATCACTCTTTTTTGCTCCCTGTTGGTCACGTAACTCCTCCTCCACTGCGCGGTGCCTGCGCCATCTTTGTTATTAGTCGCCGCTGTCGGTTAGTGACAGCGGGGCTGCTTTGACAGTAAACTCCATAATGCTTTACGAGGAGCAAAGCATTCTCCGCGCAAAGCATTCTGGGATATATCTGCCTCTTCTGAGGCCTTTCTTTTCTTCTCATACACTTCGTAGACATTTTTTCTCTTACGATCCTCTGCCATTTTCAAAGAACCGTGGTGAAAAAGGTGAGCTTCAATGACTGTCTGAAACTGTAGCTCACTACACATATACTCCTGAAAGTGCGCGTGCACAGAAAAAGAAAGCTTACGGGACGAGCACATAGGACGACCGTACATAAACATATCACCAGAACGATTGACAATTACGAGGACCACTTATTTAGTTGATCCCCCCCAGAAATAAAAGCGTGTCCTCTATACCTTTAACTGTATGCTGGGAACAGAGGAACCTAGGTGTGTGTGTTAATTGAATCTTATGCATAAAAGAGATCAACTTTGCTGCTCTGTTTTGAGCCTTCTTGTTATCTGCTGTTAAATCTACTCTCTCTCTCACCATCCTGCACCACCCAATTAAGATGCGTTTCTCAGCATGTCACAGAAATAACAGTTTCCTGTCAAACATCTCTGCCACCTTTTTTCTTTTTTATAAACTCGTTTACTCCTCTTCGCTCAGTTGAGCTGACCCTGTTAAAGATGGCTCTCAGTGAGTCCTGGTAGCTCTTAGGTATGGTGGGTTTAATGATCTGGAGCAGATTTTTACAGCCTTGTGATTCTGGCCTCCACCCAATATGTAGGTCTGCCTCAACTAACAAGCTAATAGTGGGAACCGATATGACTCTTGAATAAACATAATGACCACTAAAATATCTCAACATTGAAGCAACGTCCACATAATCACACTCTAAGGAAAAGGCATCAATACACTGATGCACTGATCGGCTGATGATTCAAGGTTAGGGGGAATTGCTGAAGGGTAAAGTGAAATGAGTCAGAAATCAACCCAACTGGTTTTAATTACAAGACAACAACTCCTCCAATTGAGCCACAGCTCAAAGGGATCTGAATCCTCTGGTATTTGACATGTCTATGGAACGTCTTTGTCATTTTTGTTTTTATTTTGAAGCCATATTGGATCAATCTGTGTTTTATTCTCAGTCGACAATGTTGACAATGCAGTTTCTCTGCTCTGTAACAAGAAACAATGGCTCATTTTCTAAGTGGGAAAATGAGTCATAGCACCGTCTGTTTCTGTCATTTATCATCCAGGCTGTTCAATCTTTGCCTGGCAAAGACAAAAGTTATAGCATCATTACCATGAACGCGCTCGTTAGTATTTTACAACAAACCAATCTGACTTGTTGTCAGGGCCTCCCTCCCCAAGCCCCCAAAAATGTATGGTTTAGGGTAAAATGTCATTTTCAGCTTCTGTGTGTGCGACACCTGCTGTGTGATGATGCTTCTCTCTCTTTCTGTTACCATATTAGCTGTCCATTTTCTGAATTCTACGGTGGGTTTCCTTCAGCCCATTGAAGACCCAATTACCATCAGTTTTTGCTTCTCCGCATTTCGCATCAGGTGACAGGCGAAATGTTTCCCTCGTCCGTACTCGTCTTTCCTCCCCTTATCACTCGCTCTCCATTTCTGCCTCTGCATCTCTATTTAACCCCCCCGTCCTCCTCTTTCTCAAAGCGTGTCATTCTCTTGTACCCCCCTCCACACACATACTGACTCGCACACGTCAGCAGGGAAATGAGAGGGGGGGAAAATTACAGGACTGTGTGTATTTTTCCAGAATTATTGAAATCTGCCTTGATGCTAATGGCAGATCATGTCCGCCAAAGTGCTTGAACATTTCACACACACACACACAGATTGACACAAATTTGCATGTGAATTCAAGCAAAAGGCATTTGGTGGCGCGTTGGTCGGCGCGTCCATCCGCCTGCGAGTGTGTTGGGATGTGTGTACAGGCAGCGCTCAATGCATTTGCCATTAGCCAGAGAGTGTGTGCATATGAAGGCGAGGCTTGTCAGCCACATTAGCACACATGGCTAACCTTGATGTTAGCCTGTCCCCACCCAGACGCTGGTCTGCCCAGCTCTCGCCGCACACCAGCCCCAGCTGAAGATCATGTCTCCTGGCGTTTCACATTATTTCTCTCCAGCGTTAATGGTTTTGTTGGTTTCCTTTGATGCTTCTTATCTTGACTGCCAACTCTGTTTTTTTTCTGCTTTGTTCTCTAGCCTTACATCTTCTTTGATGTTTCTCAAAGCTATCGCTATCTTCAAACCAATAAATTTCCTTTTGGATCCCCCTTTTTACATCCTGCAACTATCGGTCTTGCTTTTTTTTGTAGGTTTCTCTTACAGATGGTTTTATATCTCTTAACCTAATAAGCTATTACCAGAGCACTCTTAATTATTCTCAATTCATTTAGATCTGTGTTTAAAAAATCTGTTATCGAGGCGTTAAAACTGTGTCGAAGAGCTGATTCAGCCATTCTATTCACAACCAGGAATGCATCTACAACATGAACACCTTCCCTTGAGAGCTGGTGTTGAATTTCCCTGATCTGAACAATTAACTTTTGGAAGGTGAACTTTTGCAGCCTCTGGGTTTTCCTCCAGGATTACCTTGAATTTGTCTCCATCTTCCTTTCAATCTTTACCTGCTTCATTTTCCATGCTAATAGTAAAAATATAAAGCTGACTGCATTTCTTTTAGATGCACCGATATGTTTCAGGGGGTTTCGGCTTTTTTGGCCCCTGATGTGACTTAATGCAAACTTGAAGTCCTGCAGGTTCTCCAGAGTTACTATGTTTCTTGCATATCCAAAGCTCCTATTTCATTGTTTGTTGAAAAGTTTTACTTTCTTTATATTTTTGGCTGAGAGGTGTAATGGTTCTCAAACAAGTTAAAAGTTGGAGATACTGTTTTGTAACCTTCGCTACTTCAGACCTTTCTGGAATATCATCATTTATCCAGTGGGTGATCCTTGGTGTTCATGCTCTTTGCTTCCTTATCTTGTCTAACAAGCCTCTGAGGCCTTCATAAAGTCATCTCATATACACTGAGAATAAATTGTGCATATATCGCTTCTGTTGAAAGCCAGACTTAATTTGAACACATTTTTATCAGAAACATGTTTGATGTTAAGCCAAATGTTGGGGTGCTGTATATCTTTTTTAACAGTCAATCTGGAGTTATTTGAGTGTTTGTATCAGTATTATTACAGTATGTTAAAGCTATATTTGTGAACTTTGGGATTCATGTATGTACTCACTGAGTATGTACTACTTGGACTTGAAGAGGCTAAACACAGTTTTCCTCCATCTTTCCGTCCACCCTTTTTTTTTTTTATAAATATACCTCTGCTCTATCACCAAGCATCTCTTTGACCTGACCTTGCCCTCTTCCACAATCTGTCCAGCCTCCCACTTTAGTAAACGTAACTTGTTCTGTTTTCCCGTGGTTTCGGACTCCTCTTCAGTGCAGTGTGTTTGTGTGTCTCTAAAGAGACATCAGCAGCAGTCAAGTCATGCAGCATTACATGAACCATTGGGCTGTGTGATGTCTGTTTACCTGGCCTGTCTACCTCCTCCATCTCTGGATGCCTGCATGTGTGTGCGGGGTCTGGCTCGCTGTGCTGGCCGTGATGCTCGGCTGGGCTGATGGATATACATACTAGCTCAGCGGACGGATAGATGGGGAGATGGAGGGAAAACGTCGTAGGGGAGGTTTTGATGGTGGACGGATGGAAGTTTGGGTAGTGTTGCTCCATTTGGGCAGATCAGCTCCAAGCCATTGGTCTCTGTGATTAACGGGTCTGTCATGGAGTGATGGAGAGAGCTACGAGTAGATGGAGGGGGGGCTGAGGAAATGGTCAGACACAGAGAATATGCATCATCTGACATGATAAACAGTGCCGATTTGATAGCAGGTGAGCTTATTGCTTATGTAGATGACAACATCTGAGATCGACATGTTTCTATGATCCTTTGGATGGTGATTATATCTAACAAGGTGTGTCACTTTCTTTGAAACATTTGCTCTGTGCTTTCACTTATCCCTGCTATTTCCAGGCTTTTTGATTTGACAGCAGTTATGAGACAATTCTTTTTAACCGACTTATTTTTTCCTAGTGTGTAGCCAGAAAATATCTTCACACGATGGACTCAATCTTCTTGGACTTTCTTTACCTAGATCTTCCAAGAGTGGGACCTGTATTACCTTTTTCGTCCTCCATTGACATGGTGAAAGAGACAGTGATAATGAATGTTAAAAAGTATTGATTAAAAATGCAAATAAACCATTAACAATGGATGGCAAATGAAGAGAACTCTCAAAGAAAAATTACTTTTTGCCTAGGAATCTATAGAATTACAGCATTGCCAAAATATAAGAAAATGAAGAAATTCCTCAGATTTTTTACTTTTTTTTTTCTTGTTCTTAAAAAACATTTCCCTAAGCTTAGACGATGTTCTGTCAGTTTTGAATCAACATTGTTAAAATTAGTGAGGCCTACCTTTAAAACTGACCGGCAACAATAGTAGATTAATATGTAATTCTGTTTTACACCTATTTTTTTCACCAGATCTGCTCTGAAGCCATTGAACACTTATTTAAAATTTTAAATAAAGCTTCACTTGCATTGAGAAGTAAGCGTGGCAAACATTTAAACTTTATTCTGCAGAATGCATCAAATTTTATATTTTTGGCCAATTTTTAACTCATTCTAGCTTTTATCAGCCTTTTAACTCAGATAATTTTCCTCATATTGTTTCCTCTAGCCTCTTTGTGTTCAATCCCTTCTGCTCCTACCTCTGTTCCCATGTTTTCCCAGTCCCATTAAATCTGTGACAGCCTTGAGTTTCAACCCCCTTAACAGCTAAAACTGGGATCTGAACGATTGAGAGATGGACTGAAAATTAAGAATCCAAGCCACTGACAGACTGCAAAGTGTTCAACTGTAGACATTTAGTGACGCTCTTGTTTTAGATGTTTAGTTGTAACAATAGCTGCGTTAGAGAGATCTTTGTACCACTACTATGTGCCTAAAGTTGGTACCCATTTTTTACCTTATGTCGTCTTTACACAAATAACAGAATTAAGGATTTTGTTGAATACTTTCTAAGTGCAACACTATTGGCACCCTGCAATTTGAGGCTTAAAGCAGATTATTCTGATACATTCTGAGTGTTTTCATCTATCCATCTCCGCCTCATTATTGGTCTCACTGTATAGATTAGTATCTGTGGTGCAGAGCGGCTGTATCACTGACAGCCCATTAGCAGCTGTCTAAATAGACAGTAAACGCATCTTAATTACTTTACCCTGTTAGCGCACATTCACACACACTCCCTCTCCACCATTTAGCCCCTTGTGTTGGCCAGATGGGCGCTTGGCCCAGTAAAAAGCCCTCCATTACCAGCGAGACTTGACCGAACCGTTCCACCCCTCAGCCCCGCTCACCAAGGTCCTACTGGGGCCACGGCGGGCCCTTGTCGTCACATACCTATAATTTAGCCCCCCAAGTGCTTTCCACATGGCCACGGCAAAAAGCTGGCCTCCATTGTAGGGGTCCGGTAATTGTAGTCTCGTTTAGAAAACTGCAAGTAGCAATTAGCAGAGAGTTGGCATTATACGGGGCAGGATTTGCATCCCTGCTGGGTGCAAAATGCTGTTTTAATATGGGTTTGTTTTCCCCACATGGAATTAGCTAAAGGGGTCTTTTATCGTATCCACACACCCTGCTCTTCTCTGAGCCAAATTCTGCCCACCTCTTGCTGCCTCTCTACTCATCTCTTTCTTCTGGTCTTTAGTTTTTTTTGGTATTTGTCCTTTTTTCTCCTTTAAATCATTCCCAGGTCACTGCTTTTTCTGTTCTTTACGCTCAAAAAGCAATTCTCATTTCTTTCTCCTTCAGAGGCATTGGACATCCTGAAGGAGATGAAGGAGAAGAATGTGGTTTTGAACGACACCCACATAACCTCCGTCTTCCACATGCTGAGCGCCGTGGCGGCCAAGGGCGGCATCTCCACTGTCCGCCGGCTGCAGGACACCATCTTTACCCTCGGACTGGCCAAGCCTAGCGCCAATCTCTGCTCTCCTGTGGTGACAGCTTACTTGGACAGGTAGTGGAAATATTGTCACACATTACAAAATCCAAACTTAAATCTGCCTGGTTGAGTTCAGAAATCAGATGCTGTTTGTTATAGTTTCACGGCTCTGGGGGAACCCAATAAACAGCCAACAAGCTGATGTTTGTTTTCAGATCCGTTTCCTCATCTGCCAAAGCCTCTTGCCAGGTGTGTGTATGCATGTGTATCTCAATGAGTCACTCATCGCTCCCTATGATCATAGCTGAGGTCATAGTCTGGGTCAGCGATTCAGAAAGGGAGAGAATGTAGAAATTGCTCATTTAGATGTGTGTTTGTGTTTTGAAGCCAGGGTTTTGTTTATGTGAGAATTCGCCAGCTGCAGCCTCTGCTATAAGTCTCCCCCCAGCCCCGCACACACATTAATGGCCATCCTTAAGACTAAAGTGTTTTTTTTTATGTAGGTGTGGGCTGGGTCATGATTTTCATGGTATGATGACCTGAGTTATCAAAAATAACACATAATTAATCCATTTAAAGTAATAAAGCAACACTTTTTTTTTACAGTCTTTAAAAATATGATTATTAAATACAAAATGAATATAAAACAGAAAAAAAATTTATACAGTGCAACATGAGTCTAAAAAGATCACGTCAGCTGCCCAAAGGAGCCTGGAATCTGTAACTTAACAGATACACTGGTCCTAGTTTTAAATCTGAGTTAACTTTATTCTTTATGTATTTAAGAATTAAGGAATCTTTGTTATCACATTGATAATAGAAATGTGCAAAGACAAATATATCTCAGATTTGTTTCTCTCAGAATGCCATTGAATGGTTTTAAGGCAAAACTCTTGTTTTGATCAAAATTTGAAGCATAGGGTTAGTGTTTTAGTAATTTTTAGTACTTGTGTATTCATACGCTGCTCTTCTCAAAAACTCCTTTATGTAACTTCGGTGGGTCAGATCTGTCACTGAATGTGTCATGTGAGCCAGAGCACCTTTGTTGCAGTCCAGTCTCCCCTTTAACACAAAAGTTGTTCTCTGGCAGAAAAGCAGATAGGAACCTTACCTGATCAGACCTATTTTTGGTTCTCTGATGTAGGGTTTGATCCAAAGGGATGAATATAGCCTTGATCAATCTGCTCATCCAAATCAGTTTACCATCAGATTCTTGAAACACAAAGGAAAGCTGTTAAATTGAACTTGTCTGTCTTGTAGAGTCAGGGAACATGTTTAAGCCAGCTTCCTGGGAGTACACAGCAAAAGGGACAGGAGGGACATTGTTTTCCTGCTGCTCAATTGCGTCAGGAAAATCTTCTTGCCATGTTGACACCTCCACTGTCCTCTCATCAGGTTGACTGTATGCTTGAGCTAGACCAGTCAGTTTGCTAATTTTTAACTGATCAGCTCTAAGGATCACGGTTAGCTGGAAACATTTATTAGTTCTTTAAAACTTAAAATTTGCATCTTTTTAGATCTAGAAATCTATTCTGTGATGCACGGCTTCAAAACATTTAGGTAAAATGGCAAATGAGATTTTGTCCTTTGTGTGTTTGTACTCTTGGTGAATAAATATCAGAATCCATTATAGCTGTAAGCTGCAAGACAAACCTGAAAGTATCCATGAGGGAAAGTGTGTTGGTGCATCTCCTCTTTAAGCAACTTAACATCCTTGTTTGTTATAACTGATGTTTTTCCCTCTAAAGTAAATATGAGTAAACATTCAGTTTAAGGTCCCTGTTATCAGCTAACCTTTCAACTCCAATCAGTTGTGTATATTATTCAGCGCATGTGTTTTTTGTGTGGAAGCTTTTAACTAGATCAACTCATTAGCATGTTAATTATGCCCAGGACCCTAATTGCTGGATTTTCTGTAGACGTCACACACATTCTCCACATGCTTTCATACGGTTTATCTTCTCTTGCACTGCCACACGTGAAGTAGACCTTTGGAAATGATGCCTATGCACACACACGAGCACAAGGTAGCTCCCCTGCCGCTGTTTGTGTTGCTTTGACTCTGGTTCTTCAGCACAAACACAGCTTCCAGGTTCACAACGATAATCACTGCCTCCGCAAGATTAGCAGGCTAATTTACTCCTGGGTCATCAACGGCAGCCAAAACACAAGCATGCACACAGCAGCTTACCGCCAGCCGTTGCTCCCAAATCAAGTGCCAGTTGTACTTCCTCCAGCTGATACTGCAGTAAACACACTAATGAACGTAGGAGAACAGGAAAGCTGCTGGCATCCTGTCGTCAGCTGGGTGTTTAGTCTACTAGAGAAGTCTCATAAGGGAGGGAAGTTCACTTTTCAAACTTTGTTTTTATTGATTTTTAAAGGTAGAAAGGAAAAATAACTTCTACTTTCCTTGTATGCATCTTAATAAATCTTTATTTTTAAACTCTAAAAATCCAGCCTGGGTGCGTTTATGGTAGGGCCGAAACGATTAATCTGATTAGTCCTGATTAATTAATTATTGTAATAGTTGTCAACTGATTTAGTAATCGATTAATCGTTAACTGGAGTTTAGAGGCTGTTAAATATGAATTGGTAACAGATCAACCAATCCTTGAGAAGCAATTACACCAAAATTGTAAAGAAAATATATAAACATTTTTGCATTCAAGATAAAAAAGCTGTTTTAGAGAAACATTTGGTGACAACTTCTATCACATACAGCGTAATCCCAATCTTCTCACCTGTTGCTCCACCCTGCTAGTCAGCTGGCTGAAAATAAAGTATACCCCTACATTCTCCCTTAACTCTTAAAGCAAACATATTTGAGGGATTGGACATACTTCCAGCCAGTATCAGGTTGTCATAAATGTGGCTTTACAGAGAGTAGAACTGCTCAAAGGAGAAATGGTGGTATACCACTACTGGGAGGGAAGTATTAGTGTCAAAATAGGGCTGGGAAATATGGACTTTAAACTCTCCTTCTTTACACTCTTTCTTCGGTAACTGAGTGTGACTGTCTGACAGGAACCAGTCCCACAATCACAAATACTGCTCCTGGAAAGAATATACAGAAGTAAAGTAGGGATGCACCGATCCAATATTTTTTTTGGTATCGGTCCAGATATAAGGAAAAAAAACTAGATCGTATCGGTGACAATTGACTCGATATAGGGGTCGATCTATTTATTCTAACTCTATGCTATTCTCTGCCGTCATGCGGCAGCGCAATAACACAACATGTTCATATTAAATATAACACCACCAACTTAATGAAACACCTCCTGAAGTTTCATAACGAGGAACATGCTGAGATTATCGGACTTGGCAAACAAAAAGGAAGCAGCGGGAAGCAGCTAACTCCTTTGGAAGCAAAGGAAAGAAGTTCAATCTTTCCATGTAATAGTATACAGGCCAAAAAGAATCGCAGATGATACTTGATAATGATAATGACGTTTTTTTTTTTTGTTTTTTTTTTACATGTTGACCAAGTCAGAGAACTTTTGGTTTAAGATTTTGTGCACAGTTGTTAAATAAATGAGTCATAACATTTATGTTTTTTTAAGAAAAGGGAAGTCAAATCATATGCACAGAAGAATGATCCCAGTTTTTTTTCCCCTCCATACGATAAAACCATTTTTTAGCTAATAATTCACTAGTGTGTTTGGTATCTGGTCGATATCGGGTGACATTAATTTTCAAATATCTGTATCATATTGGAGGTGAAAAAAGTGGATCGGTGCATCCCCAATTCAAAGTAGGCTTTTTTAGGACACCAGTTACATAAAGAGGTGCACTAAACATGCCACAGTAACGGCAATTAAACATATTATTTGAATTTCTCAACTTCCCAATGGTAAAAAGAAAATGGAAAAAAATAAAAAATAAACTTGTTTTCTGGAGTTTCTACACATCATTAGTTCTAATTTATAGTTTAGACGTTAAATCAAAATGGTTATCATTATTATTTATCCTGATAATGATAAAAGATACAATAAATTTCCACCTCTATTGCAAAATAACAAAATGATAAAAATGTATTCAAGTGTTCAAGTTCAAATCTTAATTTTAGGCCCTACGAACTGGTGCTAGACTTTGAATTACATGTTGTTACTTCTGAAATTACTATTTTCATTAATCATAGAAGGCTTAATGGTTTGGGTAAAATTATTTAATTTACAAAGAGAAACATCCACTGCTACTCTGCATTTTTACCCACCTAACGAATAACATATCCTTCTACTTTATGATATATCATGCATTTTTTGTCCCCTGAGGGCCGGTCCAATTTAAGCCTGAAGTTTGACACACTGTTTGGAGGTTTAAACTATGAATAAAAAGGAACTCCAGACACAAACAAGGTATGCTGATAAAAAAAATGGAATGTAAAAGCTGCTTATGCTACAAGGTCAGGTAGCTGCTTTTTCTGGAGTAGTTTAAAAAAGGTAACAATCAATTCATACAAAATATTAAACCTGTAATAATCAACATATCAAAATCTATTAGATTAGTTCAAATTATCAAGTTAGCAGAAGGAAACACTATTTTTTCTAAGATTATCAAAATTGAAGAGTCTCCGATCTATTCTAACACGACATAGAAATAAAAACACCTTTAAAAGTTTCCATTCCATGTTATGATTTTTTTTTAGCTAGCTTCTACTAGGATGAATTAGTTGTTTTTTTAGCAGGGTTATAGTAATGTTTGTGAGGATGGTGTGACTGAGTAGCCTCAGCATCTATTATTTTTAGTTCTGTTTTGTTTAAGCCCATGTCATTGATGGTTTCACCTTCAGAAAGAATTTTTCCATTCTTCCTCTAAAGGTGTGTTAACAGTGAAATCTCTAGGGTTGTAAATCAGCAGTTCAGCCAGACTTCAGGGCAGGTTTAAGTAGCACAACACTTGACATTTAGAGCTAGTCTTTTTGCTCTCTTCTCTTTTTATCTTGATGTACTCTTCTCCACCTCTTCATTCCGTCAGTCAGCGGACAAACAGACAGTGGTGGTGGGAGGAGGAGGAGCTGGAGAGCAGTGATAAAAGAGGACAAAGCAGGCATCATTCCCGCCTGCACCCATCTCATCGCTGCGTCAGCGCTAATGACTTAATGAACACTTCTACACCAGATTAGCCCTTGACAGCCCATCACACGCGCCGCCCCGTTAGCCTTCATGCCCGTTTGCGCAGCATTGTGTGTGCTAACCTGCCACCGCGCTAGTTGGCAGCTAGCTCCGATTGCCATCCTTGAGGAAGTGATTAGCGATAGTAAATGCTAATGAGTCCAACAAAGTGAAGAGCTGGCAGGACGCATATGATAAGGCGGTAGGATGATGGAGCAAGGAGGAGGCGGGCACAGCACTGAAAAGAGATGAGCGGCTCACAGAAAAAAGCCTAATTTACTTCAAATGCTTTGGCCCAAATGAACACAGAAAGAATTCAGCAAGGGATTTTGTTTTGTTTTTAAGGTAGAATAATGGAGACTCAGATAAGGAAGCGGGATAAACAAAACATAAAGACATATTTGATTCTTTAGGGGTGTTTTTTCTGTGCTGTAAAAGATGCAATTACCCATATTTGGTATTTTGAGCACTTCTTAGGAAGGATAAAGTTATAGCCATCACCAGGAAAACCTCCTGTTGGTTTCTTTGCTAATGCTCCCCATTTAATCATTTACTTCTCTCGGTAACATAGATGAGAAAATCCAGCAAATGTAATCTTTCAAAAGGTAAAATCATTTTTATTTATTTTTTATTTTTATTTATTTATTTTTTAGAAATACTGTATTGAAAAAAATAAAAAATAAAAATAACAAACGGAATTTATAAATAAAACAGCGGCCTTTTTATAATGATGCAGCCTTTCTAAACTCTAGACAATTGTTTTGCTTTTTATACCTTCTATCCTTTCACATAGCTATCAATGTGAAAATCTGACATGCCAAACCAGGGTGTTGATTGCAGATTTATATATAAATTCGTTTCTTTAGTGGGATTTGTAAAAAATTAGCCCTTACATGAATAAAGAGATTTGAAAGGCTTTGTAATAATGGTTTGTAAAAATGAAAAAACCTTCATGTTAGCTTGACACTTAATGTTGGCCTGCTGCAACTGGAATTGACTGCACTAAATACCATGTTGCCTCATCAACTTTGAAAAATGTCCACCTGCCTGTGCGTGACCACAGCATTCACCCTTTTTACACAAAATCACCTGGTAAGGATGTGAATTATGTCAGTAATAAGTAAGTGCCATTCTAGCCCACATTTAACTGCAGGCTAGTCGTGTCATGATCACAGCTTCATTTGCGTCTGAAGACACAGACACCTCTTTCTGGAGGACAGTGGCTTGATAACAGGCCTGCCCATCTCTCCTAAACAAAGGATTAGGACGGAGGCAAAGAAAATGAAGGGAGGGAGGGGGGTGGCTTTAAAATAAGTCAAAATGAGCCTCCTTGTCTCATCCTTCAGGCTTCCACTGAGCAAAGCGCTCGTTATTTTTTTCAGGGCTTAATTGGCTGGAAAGTGTCTGACATGCAAAGTTGGGGACATTAACAGGGCTGTGTGCTGCAGTAAATGGCAATGCGAAGTGACAGTTAAATTGTACCTAGAGGGAAATTATCCATCTTTCGACATCTTTAGCTCTTTTTGGGGGTGGATCAGCGGGCGGAGAGATGGGTTGTAATTGCAACGCCAGGCCTTTTTTTTTTTTTTTTTTTTCCAAAAGTTTTTTTTTCTTTCTTTTTTTCTTTTTTTTTTTTAATCCCTCATCAGGAAATAGGGATTATAAGTAAGTGTTTAATGTAGAAAAAAATGAGCTGGGCAGATAAGATTAACAGTACAGACCCCCCTTAGCGTCTTGTTAAAAAAAAAAAAAAAAAAGAAAGAAATTCTTAAATGAATGTATGTTATCTCAGCAGTGATGGCTTGGCTTTGATTTTCTTTTTCCCAGTTTGGGGACAGAGGTGGCATTCGGAAGAAATTTGTTTTTTGTGTCTGATTAATCATTTCTGTTCATTTGATATGTTGGATTATTTTCAGGTTAAATGACCCAACAGTGCCACTACCTTCTTTTCATTTTCTATATTTAGGTCTCAGTATATTTCTTAATGTTGCCTAAAATGTCCTTGAAAATCAGCAGCGTCATACAAAGTTTACTCAGGAGAATAGAATTGAAAAGGAAAAGGGATTTCTGCTGAGGGTAACATCTTTTGTGTCCTTGTGGTGCTTATGAGGTGAGTTATCCAAATGGAAAATACAAAAGATTTTCTTCATATCTGATCAGACCTAAATGGTTTGAATGAAAGTTGTCGTGATTGTCAACACAAACAGTGGGGAAAAAAAAGAATTGAACAAGTAGTGAATTTTTGTAGATAAACCAGATGCATAGACTTGCAAGTCAAACAATTAGTAAATGAGTGGGAGGTTTGAATTAGGACTAACGATTTCTGGTCGTTTGCTGTAACACCGAAACATATTAGCATCTGAGAAAATGTTCCCAGTGGTTATAGAAACTTGGTAAATTAGACCTGAGCTCCTCAGATGCTTTCCTCTTCAGTGGGTGGTGGCAATATAGAAATGGGTCCTGGATATTTTTAATGAATAAATAAGTTATAAGTAAATGGGGACTCTGTTTTATGTTGCATTGATTGTTAATCTGTACCTCCTAAAAACTCTGATTAACATAGACTTTAAAAAAGTTCTTCCTTACAAAGAAATGATAGGGGATGGATACGATAAAAATACGATTACATGAATGCTCATGTCCAACATCCAGACTGGATGTTGGACATTCACCTTCTCTCCTTTTCCAGAATGTCTTTGTCTCTCAGTCGTTCAATCAGACTGTTCTGCAGTTGAACAGCCTCTTGACTGGCACAGCTGAATAATGTTGTGGCTCTTCATTTCAATTAGAGCTCCTCTTTGCCTTCTAAGCCCAATCACTCCACCGCCCCACACCACCATCAACTCCCTGAGTTGCCAGAGCCAAGGTCAAATGTTTCTTCCTTACCCCTTTTTCCACCCACCTTTTGATGGTGTTTTTGCATCTCTGCTTGTCTAATTGATTTGAGAAGAAAACACTTCAGAAATTACACCTGTTTGCTCTCAGCCCAACACTCACTCTGTTTCCGCTCCTCTCTGCCTCCCTCTTTACAAGTGCCCTATCTGCTTTGACCTCTGCGTGATTGACATGGTAATTACCCAATCAGCAGATTGATGGCAGCGCTGTCACAATAGAGGGGATTGAAGTGGTCTCTTGGTTACTCCCTCGCTTCCTCTCCACATCCCGGTCTCTTTTCTGCTCTCGTTATCACTCCATCATGAGCGAATCCTCCCCTCAGCGAGCTGCTTTTGTTTGCAGCGAGGAAGACCGAATATGAAAGGGATGTCATGAGAAGAAGGGAGCGAGCTGTGAAAGGCAGAGTGGGGTGTCTAATGTTGCTGCCATATTTGAGCTAAATTGCTCAGCTGGGGTTGTGGGGGTGAGGGAGGTCAGACTCTGTACGAAGAGCGAACGGCATGAAATCAAAAACGCAATGGTGTCAGGAGAGAAAGAGCAGTCAGACAGGAAGTGTGACGGTTGGAAGGAAAAGGGAGACGAGGGAAGGTTGAGGAGGTTCTGGTCGGACAAAGGAGGACGCTATACAGAGAGGGTAAAGATCAATGGAGTCCTTTTATCTGCTGTATTGCCTCACCTTTAAAAGCCTGTCCGTAGAGTCATTAGCTCCACCAGGACAGGTGTGTGAGATCTTGCCTGGTTGTGTGGGAATGATGTATTGGGGCCAAAGGGTCTCGTCGCCTACAGTTGTTCTGCCATGAATTCAAAGGCCCTCATTGTTGAGGCGGTTCATTGTGCTTGGATAGCAGGGCACAGGGTTAACACCCCATGATACGCTCTTTATTCTCCACTGACACTGCTCTGTACATGAATGATTGGATGAACTCATTCTCACGTGTCTTTTTTCCTCTCTCTCTTTTTCCCCATGTCTGCAGCAAAGATGTTGCTGGAGCTCTTGAAGCGGCGCTGGAGTGTCAGAAACTCTACAACCAGCTGCCGCGCATCCATGACATCATTGTGGCTCTGGTGGAGAAAGGAGACACCGATTTATTGCAAAAAGGTGGAAGACTGATTTTGGAACTATCAAACTTTGTTTAGCCTGTTATACAACAAAATTGTAAGCTCAGCAGGCACAATTTTCCAGTGTCTAAAACTACAGATGTATCAGCAGCATGGGAATGTCCACTCCTTTTAAAGTGAAGTATTGTCCCAAAGATGGACATGTTGGCCCCAAGTAAAAGCAAAAAGACAGATTCCAGCGTTTAAAATAGTGTCTTTATCCATTAAGGCATAAATCCTCTTATGAAATGCGCCACAGAGAGGAAGAAGTCATTACTCCGAAATAAGATTAAAAAAAAAACTGATTCTAGTTTGACAATACTTAGATATGAATCATTGTTCATCTGAATTTAATTGTTACACCTAAGGGATGTCCCAATACAAAATTGGTCCGATATCAACCAAAAGTCCAAATATAAGAATATGTTTCCCTGAATTTCAAATCTGAGATATAAACAAGCTGATAAAGACCTGCTGTTTTCATCTGTTTCTGTCTAAAGTTTCTGCAACCCATTTGTTAATAGTAAACGGGTTAGTTGTTCTCATGCTTAGTGGTTCTCTTTGACTTCACTTGATCAAGACGTTTCAAACATCCTACTCAAAATGAGTGACTAGAAAAGCACTCGGAGAGCGCAGACCTCCTCCTAGTAGCTCATTTCCCCCGACATATTTTGACTTTTAACTTTTAAGTTAATAACTCTACTCACTGAATCTTAACATATATACCTGGTTCCATATGGGCATCCTAATCGTCACCAGAAATTTTGCCATTTGTTGCCCATCAAAATATGCACCTTCTCTGACTTTTTCAGCAAAATCTGTCGACAATATTTTAACTTATTTTGAAGGCAGACAAACCAAATCTGATGGAAAAATAACCTTCTTGGTGGAGGTAATAAAAGTATGGATGATTTGTGCTCAATTTTATTGAAATCAGTTAATCCACAAAGCTGGCATATCGGCATTTTATCAGATATGAAAAGGTGTTTTTGAGACATTCCTAATTTTAACGAATATGGGCAAAATGGGCTTACAGGTCTTCTTTGTTTTCTCTTAAAAATTTCACTACCACTTTGTGAAGAAACAGTTTAGCTCTGAATATCTTGGATGATGAATAAACATTTAGGTTTTTCTCCAGTAATGGAAAAAAACAGATGTTCCACTTTAGTTCTGATTTTTAAAGCAAGCTTAGCTCATCGCCACAATATAAAATGGAATCGCTGCATTTATGGATGCGCTGTTATAAAAATGTTAGCTGATGTCATTATCAAATATTGATATTACCTTTGAAGCCGATCACCAATATCTATCAGTGTTATAGGTTTTTCCTGCTCTTCCTTAAGGATTGTCAAACTTTAACTAAAAAAAAAAAAGTAAGTTTGGTTAATACCAGTCCAGTTTTACTAATCGGATATATACAAATGTTAATGCTGTTTTTATCTGGGATCACTAACCCCATTAGAATCTAGCTGTTAGCTAGGGTTCAGATAAAGGAAATGTTCTGAGCTGAACTGCTCTCTGAACTGTTAAGTGGTTTTAACCTGTTATAATTCTCATATAGTGCCCGTTTGACTCATTACATTTGTGAACTTTTCACACTTCCTAATATTTTGAAGTGCTTATGATGCTGTTTCAATGTGTAACTGCTGTAGAATAATCGCATCATACATCCAAGAAGTCCTCCCTTCTCTCTTATCGCTCTTCTTGTTTGTGCAGCCCTAAAAGATTTTAATACATTTTTCAACAGAAAGATAACAAATAAGGAGGACTGAGTTTATTGAATGCATAATCTACTTCAAGCATTGTGCTAAAAAAAACATGCTCAAATACCTGTTTTTTTTTTTGAGGAAGCCAAGTTGCCACTTAAGTTAAACTTAAGGTTAAGTTTCTTCTGAATTACTTCAATTAAATAAGGCACAACAGGACATTTATACTGAAGTCACACTTCCTCTCTCTCTCATTACTTTTAATAGTTTTAATTACCTAATGCCTAAAATATTTCCTCAGAAAAAGGCCCACATGAAGTTGAAGCGTGGGACTCCCTGTAGTTTTCTGCTCTAATCCCCTCTCATACTGTTGCGTTTGTTCACAAAGTGCTCTTCCAGCTTTTGCATTGAACACACACATTAACAGATGCTAGGAAATGCAACATAGCATAAGTGGAGCTGAAGGTCAGAAAGATTTAGACCTGGGTCAAAGACGAGGCTGCTTAGCCAATCAGATGTAGAGCAGCCTCTTTATATCGCCACACTAGCGAGGTCAGAGAATGTCAAGTTCAACGTGCTGCCGGGGGCCAAGTGGCTCTGAGTGTTTTGAGGTTGGGGCCATTAGTGGAGCACCTCTTCACGTTCTTACCTCCATGATGAAATCGGTCACCAGGCCCCTAAAAACAAAGTAACTGAAAATATTTAGATATGGACCAGACTTGTCGACCAGAGCTGCACTCTGAAATGCTAAATTTATTCCTCCTCTCAATCCAGTGTTTTAAATCATTAAGCTCTGAGTCAGTCTAAGTGCTACATAAGAACAAACTGAGTGCCTTTAATCCTTTCTGTTTTTAAAGGATATAAACTCACCTTTGAAATGAACAGAAGTGTTATAAAACCACAGATGTAAAGCAGACTGTCCTACACGGCATATTTATTAAAGTATTTACTACAGTTGAGACTTTGGTTAGAGTTCAAGCATCACCACAAAGGTAAAATGAAGTACTACATGTTTCTAATTTTTAATGGGTTTTTTTATTGATGAATTTAGTCCGACTGGTCCGAAATGTGATTCCGTGAATCAGGTTTTGCACTGTTATCCTGCCAAAGCTCCTTATTGTTGTTTTATGAGCAGAGGAAGACGGTGAGGAGGGATTACCTTTATGTCTTTGGTGTTTCTGGACATGCAGACTCCTGTGGATAGTTTAACCATGTTTGTGAGAAACACCTGTCCTGAAGCTGCAGTACGGAGATAGTTTGCAGGACCAAGCAGAGGGCTTTAGGAAGTTCACCACACTTTAGGAAGTGTGGTGAACTGTGTAATATGATGAAATCTTAAGGAAGTGGTGAACTATGTTTGGTTAAATCTGATGTTCTTATTCATTTCTCTTCTCTGTTCCGGTTTCCCCTCCCTATCCATCTTTTTTTTTTTGCCATAAGCCATGGACTTTGTGAGCCAGGAACGAGGAGAGATGACGATGCTTTATGACCTGTTCTTCGCATTCCTACAAACAGGCCGTTACCGTGAAGCTCGTAAGATCGTCGAGGTAAGTAGGCATTCACAAAGACTTTATTACCCCATTTACACTACCCTTGAAAAACTGTGCTGAGACCGGTCCGAGCTCAGTAACTGAGATAACTTATTGTGTGTAAATGGAAAGCAAACTGAACTGAACCGAACTAGACACAACCGAACCGAGCTAACTGCAGACCAGTTCCAGAGGTGGGCTCGACAGAACACAATTTGAGTGAATTTAGTTCACACAGGAGATCACATCACATTTATTAGGAAATATGAACGGCCACGCAAAATAATGTGATTTCACAAAAAAAATTGAAATTGAGTCTGCAGTGTGAACGTAGGAAGTTGTAAGTCAAATAAAAGATGCATATATACAATTAAGTTAGTTCCAGGTTAATCATATTTACTTTAATTGATGGAAGGTGTGAACTCAATAGAAGTTGCTGCTACAAAGCAAATTAATTATGTTTTTTTTTAATCATTATTATACTACTCTCCCAATTCATGGCACTTTCGCTGTCCATAAATGAAGTCTGCCATCTGCAGGACCCTCATGGCTCTTTTTTAGTTTCAGCACAACGGAACACATCTAAAATGAAGTTGCCACCCTCTTGTTTCGGTTTTGAGTCCTCTGACCTGAATATTGCATACATATTTATATCTTTGTCATCTCAAGTCCTGCTATAAGCCCTTCTAGATTAGTGTGAGGAAAAGGAGACAGGCACAGCCAGCAGATAAGAAGTGATTTTTCACATGGATAAAAAGCAGAGGTCAGGCAGTCACAGAGAGATTGAACAGATGAAAAGAAGGATGAGCCTGACATCAGAGGAGGGGGAAAAAAAGACAAGGCCATTAACGTTGTGATCGGGATGAAAACAAAGCACAGGAAGGAATATCTGAACTCTTGATCTCTTGTCGTGGTGTGCTCTAAAAGACGGATTTGTCCCTCTTGAGGATTCAAACCCTCTTAGATGTTATCAACATGTTGTTGCTGTGCCTCTCATTCCCCTCATGCTGGATTATATGGCTGCTATCCTGTTTGTAATATCAGCTACATGCCAATGATGTGGGAGATGGTTGATGCCTAGGTGGCCTAGTCAAGGACTATAAGGATCTGATTTGTATCGTGTTGAAATGCTGCTGAGATTAAACTCTATGGAGGAGGGAGTGTGGGCTTCTCAGCGCATTCCCAGTGGAAACAAAATGTGGACGGATATGAAAAACTGCAAATAGCACAATTGACATGCAAGTTTTCCGATTTAGGATGTTCGACTATGTCAAGGATATTCATTTAGCAACAAATTTGGAGAATCTGTAAAGGCAAACGAGTTTACTTCAAAGCTGTTATTATAAACTTATACTTTAATTATTAATATTAAAGGGCCCTAAATATGTCAAAGTGTGAGTGTGGAAGAAATTAATTGAATTAATACATTATGGGAGTCATTTATATTTAATTTATTGATAATGTTGAATTCTGTAACACAGTAAAATAAACACTTAAAGTTGAAATAATTACACCTGGTAATTTGTGATTTAAATTAAAAAAAGAAAAATGCAGTTAATGTAATTGACTATTTTTTTAAATCTGTTAGAAAACGTGGGAAAACTTCGACTACGGCTTAATTTCAGTTTAAGTTGGACTTTTTCTTTTTTTTTTTGCCTGTTAGTGTGAAATGCAGGAACCCTGGCTATAGCTTCTGTATAGATATGCATCAGTGAGATTTCCCATCCGTTTTAAATTAACTTGGCCCGAGGATACTTATATTAGTCATCATGGATTTGACGTAGATATGACTTCCCAAGTTCCTATGCAGGGAGCAGATATTGCTTATTTAGCCTAGCCGAGGCGATGCCACACCTCAGGATGGTTGGTCCGTCCGTCAGTTTTACTTTGTGTTTAGGTTTAATTTATTTTGGCTAAGAGGATAGGCAGTCATATTTACTCATTCCTTTACAGTTTTCATTTGAATGTTTTTGTTTAATTGACTTTATAATTCCCTTGTGCTGCTTAGATTGCAGAACAAAAGCTCTAAATTAAAAGTTTCCTTTCATCTATTGTGCTCACATGAAGGCAACCCTCAGGCGACTACAATAGACTCATATCTCTCATCATTCAAATATTAACACTTACACACTCACTCAGGCACACAAATACTTTTTTTTTTTTTTTTTTATATCCCTATGAGAGCGTCAAGTGGTGGTCCAGTGTGGTGTCTCTCTTTAGGCTATGTTTGGTATAATTGGCAGCTGATTAATCACAGCTAATTAAGTGTAATGATAGAGAAAGGTGGCCAATTTTGTGCTAAATGGTCATAGTTGGGTAGGGAGGGGATTGTCAGGTGGCCAGGTCCTATTATTGCTGCAGGGGTGTGTGCATGCATGTGTGTGACGGTCAGGGTTAGGTAGTATTGCTAAAGAGTGGTGAGCTATTATGTGTTTTTATGTTAGGGAGATGGCTTTGATTGTGTGTGTGGGGTAAGTGGTGATCTGTGCAATAGGGGCATTAGTAACTGGGATGGCGAGGGTTTGTTAAGTGGACGGAAGAAGGGGTTCAGCTTTACCGGCCTTTCTTTGCAAATGGGTGTTGAAATAAGAGAGAGGGTCCCAGAGTTAAAGAAAACTCTTAAAGATGCAGCACAATACATCATTTTCAGCTGACTCCGTCTGAGTGTTTGTCCTGCTAATCTGAATAGGTAAAAAATGTTTTCATCTTCCTAAGGTTTTGTTTTTCCTTTCCCGCCTTGAGTGCCTTTGATCTACGTTTGCATATGTCAGTGTTGTGGTTTCTTATTTCTGAGGATTCTGTTTGCAGGCCCAGATTAGGGAGATTTCGTCTCACGGATTCAAAATCCTCAACATTTATGTATGTGTGTGTGTGTGTTGGTGCGTTCTGCTTTGAGCCCTCAAGACTTTTCCAAGTAAAATGAATCGCAGGCAAAAAAGATGGAGAGCTTGCACCGAGCCTTAGTCTCTAAGAAGATTAGACAGACTGAGAGAGAGTGAGTGCTACACATTTTAATTTGTCCCTTTGGCTGCTTGGGTAAGAACATAATGCCTTTGACTGGGACGGCTAGAGGGATGGAGCGACGTGGGGGGGGGGGATTTGGAAGAAGAGGAAGGACTTTGGGGAAGAGGAAGTGATGGACGCTCATAGAAAGAACCAAAGCTCAATCTTTTCTTTATTTTTTTTCCCCCTTTCCCTCTTAAAGCATTACGGGTGCCCATCAAAGAGGCCAGCGGGGATTGAGGGCTGTTGATCCTCTGCCAGATTAACTTCCAGCCAGATCGTTCTGTGTTTCTGCTCCCAGATTACCAAGAAGAGAGGGAGAGTGAAATTTCTCAATCCTAGTCCTATTCAGATTGCATCAAAGCCTGCAGGATACAGATGAAATCCTGATCGCTGTTATTTCATGATAATAATCATGTAGGGACTGCACATATCAGGCTAAATCGCTGCTACATGAGCCTGCAGATCAATCTATGTCAGACCTTATTGACAGCAAAAAAAGCTTCTCTTATCTGCGTATCATTGGTGTTTGAAAAGTAAAAACAAATCTCTGGAAAATGCAGGACGACAGATGCTGGGGACAGCAGAGGAACGGTGCTGTAATCCCTTTGCTTTTTATTTTTTTGCCAAAGCATGTTTAACTTATACATCATTTTATATCCTGTAACCACTTCACTTTAAATCATGAAATGCTATTTTCTTTTTACATTTGCAGGTTGCTTTGGGGGTCTTTTCCTACTGTTAAATACTTAACCCTCAGCGGATTAAAGATAATCAACCAAAAAAGCCCATCTAATGCACCTAATTCTTGTTTTTAAAAGTCATTAAAACTTTATGCCGCACTGTCAGTTTAGCTGGAAACAAAATGTTTAAATTAATCTGATTATTGCCATTTTTTTTATTTTAGTCTGGAACCCTATCTTGATTGAAGAATGCAGTGTTATTAAAAAAGATACATGCATTTGAAATCCCTAAACGATCCTTAATTTAACACCACGTTTCAATTTTAAGGCTGAACAACAAACGAATTACACATCTATTGCAAAACATCACGAGCCACATGTATAAGGGCACAACGTAACCATAAATCACGTTGTTTTTGTTTTATTTTAATCCGAGAGTCTTGGTCCTTGCTGGTACAAGTGGATGCTGTCCAAGCGCCGTTTATCTAATAATCCATGCGTAGCAAAAAGCTTTTTTTGTCAACACATGATCAAAACAAGTTGAATATTTAGCTGAATTTGTTTTATCCTGAAAATGGTCCTTTGGCATCCCTAAGCTTTGTCTGTTTTTTTGTTTTGACTCTCTCTGAATTTTTTCATAGTGTTTTTCTTTCTGTATGATGTTTCCAGCAGAAAACACGTTCATTTATTAAATTACTAGGCCCTACTGATATATTGCCTCATTTATTTTGTAGACCCCAGGGCTGAGGGCGAAGCCTGGACGCCTGCAGTGGTTTGGAGAGAAATGCATCGCTTCTAACCAGGTAACAAACGTGCTACTGCATAGAGACAGGTTGAAATAAAGTAGAAAAAGTTTGAAGTTTTGAACTTGTTGTTTTCTAGATGGAGGCCCTGGAGCAGATGGTGGAAATGACAACCAAGCTGTTTGAGTGCGACAGAGATGAGATGTACAGTTACATGTTGAGGCTTTGCAGTGAGTCTCTGTCCTTCATTTGACCGTTTGACCTCCCATATCTGCCCTGTTCTGTCTGCAGCCGGCAAGTGTGCGACTGAGTGGGATCAGTCAAGACGTGGTGTGATTGCTGCAGCCCCGAGTGGAGCTGATAACAATTGTGATTGGAGTGTTAAAGCTGATTGTCATTGTCCCATTGCCCCCACTTCTCTCCACACACACATCGTAGTTAGTGCGTTTGATAAATTACAGCGTAGTCGAGGGTGAGTCAGTTGATCAGATTAGAGCTCTGATTGCCTTCTCCCAGCATGAAGCGCTTTGTCACAAATTGCCCTCAGAGAAAAGAATGAGAGGCGAGCTGAGTGTTGGGCCGCACAGGTCTGTATGCCAGGCCCGGAAAAATGAATAAAACCTTTCTTATTTGTTTCTGGCTATTTTCAGAGGAAACCAATGACTGGCAGAAGGCAGAAGCCATATGGACAAAGATGCAGGAGGAGAACGTGATTCCTAGAGAGAGGACCCTGCGTTTGCTAGCAGACATACTGAAGAGTAACGACCAGGAGGTGCCCTTTGAGGTGCCTGAGGTAAAACACCAGGTTTATATGTTTCTAAAAATGGGGCATCAGGTTTTGTTGATAAATTAATTTGGATGATTTTGAAGTGTAAGACAGGACGCACATATAAAAGCAAAACTAAAGACAAACGGGGGATTGCTGAAGGTTTTCTGCCACTTTCCATCCATCATTTTGACTGCATGTTCATGCTGAGGTTTGTTAGTTTTGATCGTCCATCCATCCATTAAAGCCTTTCCATCTATCCCTCAGTTTGTCCATCCAGCAATAGTTTCATTGTTTGACCGTCTGCCCATACGTCCATCTCTGTTTCTGATCATCTACTCCTCCCATTTGTCCATCCATCTCTGGTACTCTATTAAGTCATCTCTGCCTAAAGTCCTGATCAGTTTTAGAGACATTGGCTGCGTGTCCTGATGGCAGGTTCCACTCTGCAGTTTTATCTCTAACTGAAACACTTGACAACATAAACTCTCCTCACTCCCTGAAATAAGAGTTTAATTCTGTAAATATTTAGTTAAATAATGTCAAATATATAAAACATCCAAACTAGCCTGTTAAAAAAGAGAGCTTCAATTTATCCTGTAGTATTTGTAAATATTATCTTGACGTCACCATTATGTATGTTAAATATGGTTGAATTTATTTCTGAGTAAACAAAATGGTGCTGGAAGGCACAACTTAATTTAAATCAGCCAAAATATGACAAATGGTTGCATTAAGGGAGATTTAAAATTTTAAATATTCTGTATTTTTCAATATTTGACACTACATGATGATTACTAACAGATAAAACAGAAACTTGATAATATTTTCAAACAATTACTACAAGTTATTTTTCCTTTTTTAAATGTAGCCAACTGAATAGATTATTCAGAGAGGAAGTTGGCCCTGTCCTCTAATTGTTGAAGCAAACATCCTGCCAAAAAACCTCCAACTCTTATCAGCTGCTCTCCAAACTGCCCCCCACTTTGCTCCACTTTAAGCCTCTGTTCATTACATGCAGAGCAAACAGGATTGAAGCTCTGATCTGATGTGTAGTCAATCAGACTAGCTGGCTGGTGAGAGGAATTACAGCCCAATCTGTCTGTAAATCTGTAATGCCTGACTAATTTAGCCTGCAGCTAAATGCCACCATATGGCTGCAGCTTGATGCTCAGCTGGACCCAAATTAAGAGAGAATCTGAATTTAATTTGGAGTTTAAAGAAGCTGGACTGCTGCTTTGAAATGCTCCTCCTTAGAACCTTTGGTTCGCTCGCTGCTGCAGCACGATGCGTGATGAGACGGGAAGCGATTGCTGTTGCCTGAAGCAATGAACTTTGTGACCCTCGGGGCTCTTCGTGTTGACACTTCCCGCTCCGACACACAAACTCTTCAAAGCGCATTCACTTCTCTTCGCCCCCCCAGGGATCCAAACCTAATTTGCCCCCAGCCAGCACAGCTTAACCCCCTCCCCTCATAGCAGCACGGGTGAGCGAGCATCACAGGGTCCGACTCGGGCCCGGCCGGCACTGCCGTGCAGCTATGTACACACATGCAGACAGCAGCTCATTGCCGGCTGAAGGCGTCTTCTGGATGGTCGTTGCTGTGTTTTGATGGAAGCGTCAGCCCCTGTTTTAGTTTTTATTCTTGTGTTTGGTTTGCAGACATGGTACGAACAAGCCGCCCCGGCCTCCCAGCAGGTCAGGACACCACCAGCCCCGCCTTCAGCTGAAAGGGGTGCTGATGTCCAGGCCCGTCTGCTGGCCCTCTGTAAGAAGAGTAAAGCCAAAGGTAAGCTGCAGGAGGTCAAACTGTTGTTTTCTGATATGACCCAGAAACACCACTGAACACAAAGGCAGCTGACATGTGACATAAAAATGAAGAAAATAATGAATTTCTTTGTTTTATTACTTTTTTCCCAAAACTTCCACTCTCCTCTTCTCTAGCATTTCCTCTTACAAGCATGGCTTTATGTTTGTACTGTTAAATCAAACATTTTGGACAAATGTGGGGAGAAGCCCTCTGAAAAGCCAGTTTTCTGCATTATTATCTGCTGTCCCTCTACATTATTCTCAGTTCATCTTATCTTCTTTGAGCAGCGTGTTGCAGCTCTATCAGCTGAATAGAGGCACTTTTTTGTAGCATCATAAATACTCTATAATGCATCCAGTAGCAACACCAATCCAGCCGCCTTTCATTTAGCTCTTTTCTATGTTTAGTAAATAACTGGGGCAATTTCATTTAAAACACTGTTACAAAGTTGCTTATAGGGAAGTGGAACAAACTTGATTATCATACCTTTTTGGTCATTTGTTTTTCAGTTCTTATAAAGAGCTCTTTTCCCATTGTACCCAGTCCTCTGATACTCACAGGTGGAACTATTTTCCCTTTTTTTAGCCGTGTATCTGCTCTATTTTAAAAAAAAAACTAACGTTGAACTTCATCCCTGGTGTTAAACATGATGGTGGCAGCATCATGCTGAGGGGTTTCTTCTCCAGTCTGGAATAAGAATCTAGTTAGGCTTGTTTAGAAGATGGATGGAAAGAGCTGAAAAAATAAAACTGCGAAAAATATATTTCCGTCCAAAGATGCAAAAAGCTGGTGAACACACCCATAAGACATGTAGCTGTAACCGTAGCTTAAGGTGAGTCTTGACTCACTGAGGCTGATTACAAGTGCATTCCCCACACTCAGATTTTTAATTGTTGAAACTAAATTAAACCTATTTAATTTTGCTTCAATTGACAATTATGAGCAACTTTGTCAGCCTATAGTAAGTTATGTCCTTTTAATGTGGAAAACGATGGAAAACTTGGTCAAACTTCTGTATGTCAAAAAACTATCCTGTGAATCTCTAAAACTGTGTATGACATTTGAAATAAAACCTGAATGTTATTGACTTTTTATTCAGAAGAATCTCAAAAAAGTTTTAACCCGAACAGAATCTCACTTATTTTAATGACTCTTTCCTGTTTTTGTTTTGTTTTTTAACAGAAGCACTGGGCTTACTGAAGGAGGTGGACAGAAAGGGCGTGGCACTCACCCCTCTTCCTTATGACCATGTAATCCGGGCTCTGTTGGCGCAGGGATTCATTGAGGACGCCATGATGGTCAAGGAGATGTAGGTGTCTCTACTCGCACTGTAGGAAAAGTCAGGTGCAGTTAAACAGGTTAAAGGGTCAATTGGGAATGGTAAAGCTTTGAAAAAGACAAAATGTTCTGATTTGCAGTATTTGCAGAGGCAATAGTCTGCAAAGCTGCTTTTACTGGTTGGATTCTACATCTTAGACCTCGTCTCCAAATTTTTTCTGTCAAAATAAAGCCCGGTAAAGGTAGGCTGAGATGGAGGCTTTTTTTTTTTTTTTACTTTTTTTTCATTCTTTTTTCGTCCTTTTGATAAATACAACAAAATTAAGAACCAAAAACTATATAGATTAAACAGTAAAATCATTCACACACTTAACAGTTTTAGATTTTTTTTTTTGTATCTTATATTCAAAGTAAAGTTACATTTTGAAGTGGGCAAACCAGATTCCTCCCTTAAACCTGATTAAAAAAGCAAGCTAAAGATTAGGGTTATGGCACAGAGGCCTTCCAGGCTTATGGACTTGAAGCTTGATTTCTAACTTCAGCCTCACTTTGCTTTTTTTTTATTGCCTTATGACAGCTGCATCTCACACCTTCTGTCACAAATAAACCTCCTGCTTGAACAAACATTATTTTAAATCTAATTTTTTTTAACGCTTTAATACATTTAGGAACCAAATATATAAAGGATATTGAGGTTCTTTGTTTTGTTCAGTGTCTGGATTTGTTGTGACATCTCTTACTAATGCTATGAAAACAGATCACGAAAAACAAACATGGTTAGTTTTCATACAGTAGGTGATTAACTATAGGATGATGCCTTCTTCAGGTCCTCTGTCAGGGCCTTTTACCTATAGACATGTCAGATGAGTGTTGGGCTTGATATTCCTGGGCGCGTTATTTTTTTAAAACGTGTTTGGGAAAAATTTTTCCTCCTTGAAGGACAGATGGCTCATCTCTGTATTTTTGGCGCTGAAGCAGAATAACACCAAACTGAACTTGCAGCTTGTTTATTCCTCTGCTCCTTTCCCTCTCATCCTCTGCCTGCGGTTGCTGAGGACACATGACGTTTTGACCGCTGCTCCTCAGCAGATTAAACGCGGATTGTGTGTTAACACACTTTGGCTGCTGGATATGAACAATGGTTTTCTCTAAGCCCGAGGTATACATACACAATCCCATGTCCAGATTATTTTTGGTTTTCCGAGAAGCCCCGTTCTGAAACGTCAATCTTCCTCCAATTAGTGATGTATCATGTGTTGTCCTGTTACCAGCAGCTCTATCCCAGCTTTGAGCCCCAAGACAAATGGACAGACACACACAGAGGTATTAACAGATCCGAGCTTAAAGCAGAGCGGATCTCCTGGTCGGGCGTTTTGGGTAATCTCCAGCATTTCCTTTATCTCCTTTTCTCCCTTTCTTTTTTTACTTTCTCCAGAAGAAAACAGAGAAGCACAGAGATAATCACGTAATGACACACAGGGAGAAAAGAGCTGCAGTGGCTAAATTGGTACAGAAAGGAAAAACATGTAAAAACATCCATTACACTATCAGCCTCTTCCCTGCTCTGTTTTCTGCAGCTCTCTTCAGCGCTCGGTTTCTTTTATTACAAATATAATCATATCAATTTTAGAGCCACGTTTCTACGAGTGCGAGGCAACATGAGTGATAACCCATCTCCAGCCTCTGCTTGAATTGGTTTATGGCTTCCCCGCCTGGATAAAAGCATAGTTTATCCAAGCTCTTAATGAGAAGTGAAATGAGCTGAGAGGAAAGGGAAGGAAAGATGGAAATGTGTAAGAAAGGGACGGAAGATAAAAAGGAGGGGGCTAAATAGGAAAAGAGGGCTAGATTTAATCATGGGTGCGGATAATGAAGACGCTATAGGCATTAATTCAGATTGTGAGTGTGTGTTTTAGGTAATCTGGACAGAATTGAGCAATGGGGTGCTTATGGTGAGATTAAGGGATGAAGCAAGAGATGAATTCATTGGCTAAAAGGCGATGCCCCTAGAAGGAGAAGGTGAGAGTGTTGTAGTGTGTGTTGGAGGGTAAGAGGGTGAACGGCCGACACCCTCCAGAGATTTTTTTCCCACTTGATATGAATAATTCTGCCCCCTCTCCCGTCCACTTCGCACGGGCCTCCCTCCTCATCAGGCGGTGACCCTGTTACCGCTCCAATCTTCGGCTTGACCCCGCCGCAGCAGCTGCCGGGTGCCGTTTGGCCTGGTGTCACCGTGGCGATAAGGATTGGGAGCCTGATGCTCAATTGAGCGCAAGGATTAATCTGGTTGCAAGGCTGTAATGATAACTAAAAAAAAAGCAGGAGGCAAGTTTGATTGAGGTTTGAGTGGCCAACAAAAAGGAAAGAAAGGGAGGATGCCTGAAAGAGACCTCAGATAGAAACACATTTCAGTTTTTCTTTTTTGTGCTTATCCAAAATGTATTTTTTTTCTGTTTTTTTTATGTGAAAGCAACACATGGTGCATCATAGAGAAGCAGATGTGTAGACAGAATCTTCAGGGAATCCCCTGGTTTAGATGGTGTTTATGCAATTCCAACACATGAAATGCTTTCATTTAAATTCCCTTACTATGATTCTGGCCCTTTTTCCAGGTTTCACTCTAGTTTCAGGCTTCTAACAGCTCTTAGACAATTCATCCCCTTATTTCCTATCTACTCAGATTGCTTCTATGTCCTTATTAAAGGAAATTCATTCCCACAAAGGTTCCAATAGACGTGATTTCTACAGTTTTTAGGTAAAAATAAAAAAACACTTTTGAGGATTACAGATCTCTGCAGCTCCTCCAGAGTTACCCAAAGCCTCTACTCCTTTTCGGATTTATTCTCTCCTTATCCCGTATCTCCCTTAAGTGCATAGGCATATCTTGGTGAGATTTGCAGCTGTGCTGAACTTCTACCTCTCTCGCACTATAGATTGAACAGAGCTCTGTGAGATCATCAAAACTTGCTTGTTGCTGCTTGTTCTCTAACAAACCTCTGAAATATGGATTAGCATAGAGATTACATTAAACAGCTCGACTCTACTAATTTGGTGACTTCTGAATGAAGTAGTTTGCTCTGAATTTTATTCAGGGGTATCAGAGTGAAGGTGGATGTATAGAAATGTACACAGGCTTTCAAATGTAAAAAAAACACAAAAAACAATTCTATATGTATCGAGGTCCATTAATACCAGGAGAGGTGACTTAAGGATCTTACCATATATAGTGACTTCAATCAAGTCCTTGATGTCTGTATTATATTCGGGTCACAGCATGAGAGGTTCAGACCTGCTACCAATCGGCTTTGTCCCTATTGTCTTGTGTCTTTGAGATCATTGTTTTATCCCCTCTTTTTGTGCAATCCTTTGCTTTTCTAAATGTGATACTGCACGGTTCTAAAGCCTAAGACAACACGTATGTAGTTCACTCATCACAGATTATACAGATTTGGCCCTAATGGTACACTCCACTATCAGCTTTAGGAGCTTGAAATAATGGACTGTCTTGTAGAATCAGTTATATGTGGATGATCTAATGTCAAGAAGAAAAAAAAAGAAAACATTTTTTTTTTTTCATTTTCATAAAAACAAATGACCCTTTGTTGGATTACATGATTCAGAGATGAAAACCTCTGGCCACTCCAGGGACCTCAGACACGCAACATGTGCAGAAACCCATCGCAAAAATGTCTTTGTTTCATTTTTACCTTCCCTGTAAAGATTATCTCATAGAGAAATTGTGTGTTTTCCTTAAGCCCAAACACGCAGAGGAAAATTACTACATTACGATTTGCTAAATTAAATACCTGGAAAAAAAGAATGGCATATTGATGCAAGAATTGTCAGCAAGTAATCCAAACGCAAAACATTTCAGCATGACGAATTGTTCCCTCCCAAAAAGATCCAATCCACGCTTAATAAATAACTGCTTTTCCTTTCTTAGAGCATTTATCACATTTATCTTCATCCAAGATGAAGATAAGAGGTTGAGGCGTTTGGGCAAACCAATACTATCTGTTATTGTAGCTTAATTACACACAAATGTTTTATGTAACCTTTAAGTACATTTGAGTGCAGGGTAAAAAAGATAATGTTTCAGGTGTTAATTTTCACATGGTTGCAGCTTAAATGGAGAAGCATCATTCCTCCCTTGACAGTCTTTTCTATCTTAACTCACCTCCATGTTTTCTGTAGCTTATAGGTCTGGGAACTTTGTATCAGGTAAACAGCTCCTGTCAGACCCAAATCCCCTTTGTTGTTTAGGTAATTTTCAGTGTTCATGATAAACTGTGGGGTTAGAAAACTGAATAAAAAAGAAGTTCATGCATCTTAGTTTTTTAATCAATCAATAAGTACGTAAAATGATTTAAAAAAAAAAATCAGATTGATGCAAACTATACTCCACAAACTCCTATAACTAATAATATCTCACTTATTACCTTGTTTTCATGCCCTTTTTGTTGCTGGAAGTGTGGGGGCAGGCTTAAAAGAAAGTGTACACATATTTCCAGAAACAACAAGATCTTAGCTTTCAAATGAGACACATCACAAACATCAGGCATGTATAATATATTACTGGCCAATGGCTCTTTGGTATGCAGTTTGTTCGTGCCCAATCTATGAAAAGATGGGAACTAAGAGGTTTCTATGCGGTAATCTTGACTTGCCGCTCTGTTGTTCAGGTCTCCAGAATGAACTCAAAGATGTTATGACCTATTGTGCTTCCTCTGTGTACTGGCAAGTTAAACTTGAATTTAATTTTACCACTGGATAAATATACCTAAATAAAATTCTGCCCTATTATATATAAAAACATTTTTATGGGTTCGATTAAAAAAAAAAAAAATCAACTTTTTATTTATTTAATTTTTTCCAGCTCATGAAAATAAGAAAAATAGTTTAGAATTGTTTTAACCTGTTCTACCTTTTAAATGCTCTGTACTTCCTCCTGTCTTTGCTTTTTGTATAGTTGCTTCCTGCTGTCCTCCTTTCTTTCGTCTTTATTTGTGCTACTTTATTTTTGATTTCCTCTCCTTTCTTCTATCCGATCATTTGTGTCCCTGCTATTTGTTGTTCTGTCTGTCCTTTAATGAGTTCTCCTTTCTTTCTTTCCTTCCTTTCTTCCTTGTTTATCTTGCTTAATGTCTATTCCTCCTCTCTTCATCTCCTTATTCCTTTTCCTAATGAAGGCTGTGTTTCAATGCAAACTTTCTTTTATTTATTTCTCTTTGTCTCTTCCCTTTCTCCTTTTTTCTCTTTCCTTTCTTTTTATTTCTTTTTTTTTATCTTTTTCTTTAGCTTTCTTTCCTTTCTGCCCGTTGATTAATATGCTACAAGATCCTGGTGGTTTTTCTTTTTTTTTCTTTTATATAGTTTAAGGACCATGAAGGCAATTCGGAAAGTTGAGTCAGAAAATGTTTTTTTCTTCATTAGAAAATGTGTAGGAATGCTGTTTTAGTGTGGAGGTTCTTCTGTGTGTAGAAATGTACTTTTTGGAGAAACAAACAATGTTAAATGAAAACAAATCTTTTTCGTCTTTTTTTTAAAGCGCCCAGTCTCGTCTGCCCAGCTTCAAGTTGAGTGACATCGCCAGCAGTTTGCTCATCATCTCATTTAGCAAAAAAGGCCAGCCCAAAGGTAGCAGTCAGATGTGTGTGTGTGTGTGTGTGTGTGTGTGTACATGTTGGGGCCTTAGACGTTGCATAAATCCACGTGTTCACCCACCTTTTGTGGTCGTTTTTCAGAGGCACTGGAGAAGCTGAAGTCTATGCTCCAGATGGACCACGTCCCCTCCAACCTGGCCATCACCAGACTGGTTCAGGCCCTCGGTAACCAAGGCGATGTGGCAGGAATTCAGGAAGTGGAATCCCTGGTCAGGAGCCTTGGCACGAACATGAACCTTTCCAGCATGGTGTTCATCAACAACACAGCTCTTGCTCATATCACTAAGTAAGGCCAACAGGTTGAAAGCTTTCTAAACATGCTGGAATAATAGTTTCTTTTCAATAAAATAACATGGTAATAATTTAAGACTTTTAAAGGTTTTAACCATTTTTTTCTATAAGGATTGATGATACAGTTAGAATCTGGGTAATTAGATTCCTTGTTTGAACATAACTTATGAAAAGCTGGAATTTTCTGTCCAGCCTGTTTTAGTTGCTCCTTTCCACCAGTTCCCTCTTATTCTAGTCTAAGATGTGTTTAAAAGCCAGATCCGTCGCAAGAACATCACTGCTTTACATGAAATAAGACTGTAAATCCTACCTAGAATGTGCATGAGTATCCAGCCAGACTTAGTGGCTCCAAAAATATGCATTTCTCTGTGTCTTGTACCTCTTGTGTCAGGTTAGATGTCTCTGACACCAGAATAAATATGACTGAGCTAGTTTGTGTGATGACACTGCAAATTGACTAGGTACCAGGACTGTAAAGGACTGAAAGATGTGTATATTGGTGGAGTTAAAACTGTTCTATTTAATCTAGTCCAAAGTCCACCGTTTCTTCTATTGTAACAAACTTAGTAAATTAATTGAGTAGCACCAGTATGAGTGAATTGGTGTGACACACTGTTGCAGTAAAAGGGAGGGTGAGACTGAGGCGTCAAGAACAAAAAGGAAATGCAAGCATAATAGGTTTATTCATGGGCCCATCCTCCTCTGCTGCGGCTTAAACAAAAGAGAACAAAATAATATAACGTGCTGCACATCAAAGTTTTATCGTGCCACTTGCCGCATTAGCTCGCTCCCCCGGCTCCAACGGCACCCAGCTTGTAGGGACAACAGGAAGTGCAAAACAGTGCAGGGATGTTACGCCCGATTGGACACCACGGCGCTAGCCTGTCAGCTTGAACCCTGACCTCGGCGAACGGCGCTGTTGAGCGCCTCTGACACGTGCTCCGCCGCTGTATCTGAGTCAAGCTGACTGGTTAAGAGCTGCAGCGGGGAACGGGGCCTGGCGACACATTTAGAGGGGCCCCTCGCTGAATTATTCAGACGGTCCCAGTCGCAACAATAAGAGTTGATATATTCCCATGCTTCTGCACGACGCCGTGCGCACACACCGTTGGTTAAATATTCATCACGGCTGCTGGCGAGGGCAGGGAGAGCGAGCGGGCAGCTTAAAGTGGTAGCACTGAACTCAGGTTGCCAGATTGAGTTGGATTAGATTTGTTTTGCTTTTTTACCTCGGCAAAAAAAAAAAATATGTCAGGAGAATCATTAAGTCTTATCCCAGAGGGAGGCTGAAAAGGAAGCAGCAGGAAATATGATGTTAAAAATGAATTTGGTCCCAAAAAAAAAAAAAAGAAATGTAGAGAATCATTCTTTTTATAAATGACTATACAGCCATGTTGAGTTTGCTGCATCCTAGAATGAAACTCTTAATTTCCCCCGTTACCCACTTTTTTTTCTTAATCTCTCCTGTGGAGTATAGCTAGGACTGAAACGGCTTCAACATATTTTTCTTTGTTACTGTTTATCATTATTATTATTAATAAAAAGGAGCAAAAAAATCACAAACCCAAAGAATAGTTTAATGCATAACCTTAAGTTACTTTGTTCGACATATTTTTAGTTCTTAGCAAAGAAGCCATTTGGGAAACAAAGCATTTTGCATTTCTTTATAAAACATTTTTGTCTAAAAGGCAACAGGAATAATTTGACGATGTTTTCTCTGATGTGTTAAGCCTATATGGTCCAAAGTGTTCACTTACCCAAGCAGACCACTGGATTCAGGAGTTGAATTTGCCTTACTGCTGCAGCTGCATTAAAGTCCAGCAGCTAACCACACTAATGGCGTAAGAATGGGTCAAAGTGTGGAGCTCAGTAAAATCCAGTGCATTGACTCTGTAGGATGGCACCTTTGCAAAGAGACCAGTTTTGAAAGCTACAGACCTCCAAGGCTGATGTGGTTTGAAGCGTAGCTTAAAAGTGTGTTGAAGTGTTTAAAAGACTGAGCAACTCTATCCAAATATTTCATTATCAAGTCTGATGACACTCAGGGGAGCAAATACTTTTGTTACAGCAATGTTAATATATATATAGTATGAGAAGTATGTTTAAATTCATCTCGGTATTTCCTGACTGAATGTATCTTCAGCAAGAAACATTTGGGATTATGTTTTTAGCCAAGATAAGGAATAAAGTCAACCTTAATATTGATAACTAGTTAAACGTGAAACCCAGAGTTATTGAGTCACATTTATCTAGAAGTGACCATTGGGAGTCCTTTCACTGCTGCCTGCTTTCGTGGCAGGTGAGAGGTCAAAGGGGTAGGGTAAGAACCTCGTAAATGAGATTCAGCCTTAGTCTAACCTAAAATGAAGGGATTACAGGATTAACCTAATTTATGTATCAAAGCATAAGGAGAGGACCTTTATCTGTTTATCTGAAGCTGTGGAATAGGTAAATCAATTAGCATGTTGTCAATGAATGCGTTTACAGGCTTAAAGGGGAGAGTTTTCAGTTTTACTGTGGTAAATAAAAAGGGGGAAAAATATAATCTGCTAGGGAAGCTGTTGTCTATTGCTGGTGATTGAACCACTTAAGACTCATATGGGGTAAAAAAGCTTCCTAAACTCAAGGGATTATTAGCAGCTGGTTCTACATCTCTAGTACTTTGGATTGAGAGCTGTTTTTACAAATTAGCAGTTTTTTTTTTGTTTTGTTTTTTGGATTGTGCTTTATGTAGCTTATGGATAGGGTGCAGCAGACCAAACATACAAGTAAAAAAAATCTTTAACTAACCCCTACATTGGTGCTCAATTCAGATATTGTGTGTTTAGGTTGAAAAGTGATTTTGATTGAACAAGGAGTGACTTAACCTGCTCCTTTTTTGTGTTTTCAGTGGCGATGTGGAGTCGGCCGTGGAGTTGTTTGATGGAATTTACACGAGTCCAAACGGCTCCAACTCCAGCATGTCCTTTGTCTTCAGAAAGGTGCTGGAGTCTGGAAACGACAAAGCTTTGGACAAACGTAAGGATCTGCAGATAACAGAGGCAGATAGAGATGGTTTGGAATAAGACCTGAGCTGTATGTTTATGTGCTTCTGCAGTGAGTGCGATGGCAGAGCGGCTGGCCAACCACTTTGCCTGCTACAGACCGGCTTCAGATCTCTTCCTGCAGCTGCTGGATATGGACAAAGTGGAGGATGCCAAATTTATGCTGGCTGTAAGTATCATTGGCTAAAAAGAAAAAAGAAAGTCAACCTATTTGAGCTTTCAAGCTGAATGCTGGTTTTATTAACATTTTAAAGGTTTTGTTATTTATTTCCCTACTTTGAGGCTGAGCTACAGTATAAGTGCATGTTTGAGTGTGTTTTACTTGAAGACCTGTTCAGCTAGAGCCATAACTGAGATAATGCCAAAAAATGTTCGTCTGCTGCCCCTTATTTCTTGTCTTTCTTATGGTTTTAACACAGATTGTTTTTCTTCCTATAATAAATTAATATCTGTTTGTCTATATGTAAAGCAAAGATAACGAGTTGAAAACGTGTTATTGTCCCAAATAACCACAGACGTGGTAAATGATATTCCATGTGTGAAACATGTACCCAACCAGGAAGTGGATCCAATTAATCTGTATTCTTCCTGTCTGGTGTCAACCAGAGATCTACTAATTCAGGGGTTTTTTAAGGGCAGACACTGGTTATTTTAACATCAGTCAAACTGATCCCTGGTATCCGCTGCTGCTTTTTTGGGACTGATTCATTAGGCTGATGTTTCTTTCTCTTCCTCCATTTCTATAATAAAATAACAAATGTTAGACAAGTTTCTATTTAAAGAAAATATTAATGGATAGATCACGGGGCGAGGAGCAATACATCCGCATTATGGGATATCAAGGCACAACCTCTTAGTGGCCTGAATTGGCGAAAATATATGCATTAATCAGCCGAGGAAAAAAACACTCATATCTAAGTTTTTTTTAAAGGTAGGCTCTGTATCTGCACCTTAAAGCTTTTTTCTTTCTCCGGATCTTTTCCTGAAAAGATCACTCGGGACAAACTCTTTAAATAACATTTTATAACGTATATGTATTAAATAACCCTGAGACAGGAAAACAGATTTTGATAGGGATTATAATCTCAGAGAAGTTGCTTAGTTACAGGACGCAGCTGCTTACCAGCCGTGCTCACTTCATGGGAAGTGGTCACGATTAACAGTTAATGAAGCATTTTATAGAAGTCATGTCTGCCACATCATCACATTTTACATCATATAGGTTTGCAGACAGGGAGACATCCATGGCTCCAGCCTTATCAAAATATTACACTTTGCTCTTAGCTGAAGGACACCGCTCTCATTCCATTCCCATATTGCCATTAGCCACGTACAAAATGAAGATTAGAGCTGTATATCCGGACAGAGAAAGTGTCTTAATTAGATTAAATACTGGGGGAAAACATCAGTTCTGACACGCAACAGGCAGCTAATATTAAGGTTTAAAAACCTCACACATCATCAATGATAATTATCCCAACAGTTTGCATTCTCATTTTGATGCCTTTTAAACATAATATCCAAGAGATGAAAATCAAAAATGGAAAAGAAACCAAGGAGCCATTTTAAAATGATGAATGCTCTCTTATCTCAACTCCCGGTTGATCCCATTCAGTTGTCACTGAGTTATTCATCAGGATTCACATTTAGGTGAGGAAAAGCTTATCCAATTTCTACCTACTGAGACAAGTGGGCTTAAATTGGTCCAGTGCTACTTCACTTATTCATCACAGCTCATCCATTACAGCTCAGTGACTCCTCGCTGGGCTTAGGAACATGAAAATATAGAAAGCTAAATGGATGTAAGGTGGAGAGAAGGCTGCATGAGAGATGGAGTCTTCCTAAGATTAAGACTAACATTCAGATAAAGATGCGTTATTTGCTCTCATCCAGCCTAATGAGGAACATTTATACCTAGTCTTTGCTTCTTGGCTAGCATCTCAGCAGCGTGCATCATGAACACTATGGGTGGATATTAAATTATTCATAAGAATAGAATAGAAAATCCCTTTATTGTCCCACAATGAGGAAATTCAGGTGTTTACAGAATCGGTCTGAAAAGAAAGTGAAGCCTTTTTGTGCTGCAGAGAATTGTTCATACCAGCTTCCTAACCACCAGTTTATATTGCCAATACCAGTTATTTTGAAATTTGGCCCTACTGATCCATGCTGCTGATATTTTGTGGCTGATTCTTGATGTCCATATTGCTTTTCCTTCCTCTGTTTACATTAGGGCTGGGCAATTAATTGCATTTGCTTTTTAATCACAATTTAAGAAAATGCAAATTTCAAAGCGCAGAGCTGCTCAGATTTGGGTAAATTACATTTAACAAGAGTAAGCTGCTAAATTTTTCTCAGTAGCCCTTTAGGTTGCTGTAAAATGCTTTAAGTGGATTTGCTGACACAGGGAAGGGGAGCGAAAGATGTGGCTAGCATGCACATTCATGTCTCAAAGTAGAATTTATCACTTTTTCCACAGTCCTGCAACAACGGACTATGGACAGGAGAGCTTTCAAAGTCATGAAAAAAAAACTAAACCCTGTCAAAACACTTTAATGATCATGGTTAGCGCTAAGGAAAACCAAGATAAAATCACAATATTGGTTTAAAGTAGTTGCAATTTTCATTTCTGCCCTAATTTACATAATAAAATTTGTACAATACCAAATGAAACGAAACGATGAAGGGAGCAGCAGTGCCCTTCGTGTAGCTGGTGAATGTGTTAATGAACACGTGCACGTATCGGCCGATACCCATACTAGAGAAAAAATGATAATGGTTAAAAATATCAGCCTGCCTTTGCATCGGTCACTTTCTACTCCAGATGGTTCGACTTGATGCTGCAGCTGCCGTTAATCATGTTTTATTTAAAGAATAGAAATTAATTTTTAATAAATTTTAAATCTTTCTTTTCCCCTTTGAACATTTTTATTTTCAAAGCATCTAACATATGCTTACAGCACAGAGCCTCTGCTGAGCCTCCAGCTAGTAGTTTACAGATGAGTTTACAAACTAAAATAAACCTTAAAAATGCTCTAAAGCATTGCATTTCTAAGACATATTTATCTCTAGCTATTCTCCTTCCTTAAAGTTTACAATTCAAACATTAACAGTATTAACTTTTCTGATGTTAACATTTCAGGCAGCATTTAAGTTGATGATTAAAACATGAGTTAGACAAATCTCTCTGCTCCTAGAAAGTAGAAGCACCCAGTAAAATGGGTGTAAAACATGTTCTCGTGCTTGTTTCTACAGTTCAATTCTGCGTTAGACCTGCAATAGGCTGCTGTGTGCCGCATTTTGTCTTCTTGCTGCCCCCTCCTTATTCTCCAAGCAGCTCTTCCTGGGTCACTGGAGGGTAGCAGCTGAATTCCTTCATCCCATCACAAGTGAAGCAGGACTGAAACTCTGAAAAGCTTTTAAGTAGGCAAGCAGCCTGTAATGACGACAAGGCTGTCAGGAGAGAAGGAGGTGAGGTCGGTGGGGAGCAGCAGGGATGGGGCCGGTCATTAAACAGAGATACGGCGACGAAGAAGGCGCTTAACGAACTCGTCTGCGGCTGCTTACGTGCCTGTATGTGCAGGACTGGGTGGTTTAGGAGGATTCCCAGGATACGCTGGGCTTTTAGGCAGCATGTGAGAGGAGTTGGGTAGGCGGCAGGGCCACTCTGACCAGCTGCTGCTGAGAGAGAGAAAAAATGTGGCAAGGGAGAGGGAAAAAAATTCCAGGAGAGATGAAGGAGCGAGAGACGGAAGAAGAGTTACTTCAGATGTAGTCTTGGTCTAATTGCCCCAATTGTACTAAAGCTGTCCTGCCACTTCAGTGATTCCTTAACTTCTGCTGCTCGCTTTGATTCTATGTGCTGCTAAAAGCCTTGCAGGCCACTCGCTTTTAATTCTGTACGAAGCAAGGAGTGAAACGCGTTAGTTTACGACTGGCTTGTAATCAGACCTCACTGATGCTCAGCCAAGAGAACACAGGCACCATGCAGCAGAGTTAATGCATCTCCTCCTAAAACATGCATTATAAGAAGCTCTCTTTAGGATAAGAATGAACAAACAACTCTGACATGTCATGTTTAATAATGTTTCTACCTTCCAACGGTAGCTGTTAGTTTGATGCATTAGAATCAGGTTTAATGTGAGCAGGAGTCACAAACTGATGTCAATCAGAAAATGTTTCCAGACACTATTTTTATTACATTTTTATTTAAAGTAAAGGCTCAGATAAGGTTATTTCTCTATTGTGATTCAATAACAATTCACAGCATATCATCTCAGGATATTTTAGATTAAATTAAATCAAATCATCCAGAAAGATCAGTTTATAGTTTTTTAGTTTATGGAAACCCAGCTGATTTCATTGAGCTGTTGACTCAGCAGCAATTCCTCAGACTGCATGCAGTGACAGTGGGGAGGAACAACTCCCTTTTCTTCCTACTGAACTTTAACATATCCTTATTCAATCCAGTTACAGGATCAGAGATTATTGACTGAGGTTTCTGCATGCGGACTCGGTGTGTTTATAAAACCATGTTGTGTAGAATGACGTCTATATAATAACTACAGACTTGCGTCATCTAATGTAACATCGAATGTAGCTTCTGTGTAAATCCCCTTCAATCCTGCCTATTATTTCCATCTCTCCCCAGTTTAATACCTGTGTAATAATTACCTAAATACTATAAAGTGGTTCTTTTTATTGGAAGCCTGCTGTTGCTACAGTGAAACCTGATTTTTTATTTATTTTTTTCTCTCTACCTTTTTGAACTTTTTACGTTTTAAAGCAGAACAGGAGACATTCACTGGACGTGTACAATTACGCCGACTAGTAGAAAAGGTGTTAAATGTAACTAAGTGATCATAATTACGCTTTCTGATGAGAAATGTGGCGTGGATGTAAATTCACAAAGAAATGAATAGTTATTATATCCGTAATTATCCTTTAACCTGAGTGTAACCCTGACTGTTGTGCTTGTATGGATGTGTGGGTGTGCTGGAAGTGCTTGAGAGTTTAAACACTGAAACCTAGTGAAAAGTCACAGGTTGGAGTCGACTTGACCTCAGTAAAAACAGCCGAAGGGGGAAGTGGATCCAACTAATCTGTATTCTTCCTGTCTGGTGTCGTTACAGCGCTGCAACGCTCTGGCTGAACAGAGGGAGGTGTTGCTGTCCTACGTGTCTCAGAAGGCTCAGAGTCCTGGACAGGTACAGTCCTTTGACGGTTTCCTCTGAAGCCCTCCTTTATTTACAACATTTAGCATAGCTGTATCCTAAACCTCATTTTTTTTCTTTATAGATATGTCACATAAAGTTGCTTATTATGGCAACATTTCAGTAAAAAATAAAGTTACCAAAGCTTGGGAAATAGGCTTCTAAAACTCTTTAGGATATTTCTTATTTAAATGCAAGTGTTATTGATTCGTAAATTAGGCTGTAGGTCAGTTTGAGGCCCTGAAAAGATATGTTCTGCAAATGGAATACACTATATGGATAATATAACCAAAATGCCCAGGGGTTAGCATTTTCTGCTCAAATGTGTACAGTATAAAAGTATCTGTAGCTTGTTTATGGTTGTTTTTTGTTGCTATATCTGTTTAGAGTTTTTTAGTATGGATGAAAATTTGAGCCAGTATTATTGTCTTTTGAAGCTCATAACTGATATCATGGATATTTCCCATACCATTTTAACTCAGAGTAAATAGTAATAATAATAAAAAAGTTTTGTTTTTTTTTTTAAAGAAGAAAAACAAGTAACAGTTTTTGTTTTTCCAGAGTTTTTGTACCAGAGCAGTGAAAGATGTCGGTACAATGAAAGTAGTTCAAATAAGTCATGATAAATAAACTTACAAATATTTTATCTTATTAATGAAATTATCCAATTTTTTTTTTAAACAACAAAAAATGAGTAGCCTCACCTAGAGAAGACTTGGCTGATTGGTCTGTGTAATGTTGGTGTTTCACAGATTGGAAAAATCAGGAACCTGATGAGCCTGATCCCAGACTTTGCAGAGAAGGACATCCTGTACGCCTACCTGATGAAGTGCCACGGTAAGATGGACCCATAGGAAGGATGTTTTTATCATTATATGCTGGATATTATTTTTTTATTGTTTATAATCCAACCAATAATTTAGGTAATTTGAGTCCATTATTGGTATATAATGTTATGGGTCAGACTTTGAAAGTTCTGCTCTGTAGCTTTACAGAGCTTTAGTTGCATTTAGAGCTACCAGTATTGCATATTTAAAGATTTTCTTTGTGGCAAAAGGGCTCTGAAAATCTCATCTTGGGGTTTAGTTCTGGACTTTGACTAGACCATTCCAAGCCATAAATATATTTGATTTAAATAAGTCAATCATACCTCTGGCTGTATTTTATATTTAGCTTTAACCATCCACAGAATTATGCTGCCACCACCATGTTTTGACATATATGGTATCTTTGGAGTGATGTGCATTAATATTTAAAGGCACACCGTGTAACTATCAGCCACTAGGGGTGCTAGACCTGCAACTTTCACATCTAGTGCCCCTAAATTTCACTTTTATCTGAGCAGAGTGTATTTTCCACATGATTTAGGAGCAGTAGAAATAAAGAGGTTTAGCGTCAAATGTATTCTGCATTGGGTAAAAGAAAAATAAGATATTCACATATAGAAATGAATTTGTCAGTATTTTTTACTCATGTCTTCTCCCTTCACATGTGGCAGCTCTGGATAAGGACCTACCGTCGGCCAAGGCTCTCTATGAGCAGATGCAGAAAGAGGGGCTTGAAGTGGACGAGCTGTCCCTCAAACGGCTGGCTGGGCTTTACCGCGAGGCGGGGGAGACGGCTCCCTTCTCTGAGCCCCCTGTGAGTAAACGAGGAGCTGATCTGAACCGTAGCATCAGTATGTGGTAGATGTTATACCCTAGGGAGAAAGGATGATCAAATAGGGAACCATTGTTGCTATAATCCCACCAATATAACATCTATAAGTTTGCATGCAATAAAGATCCACAGATTTTCAGTTTAACACTTAAAATAGAGGTTAGAAACTTCTGCAGTATTGTGGCTCTATCTGGGAGCTGAAAGCTGAATCAGATGCTTATGCAGTAATGAGCCTATAAAGACCTTTTAGATAGACTGGCCTCAATAGCTCGTTTTAAAATGAGCACATTTTTAACAACACAACCTTTTATCTCTTTTTGTTTCTGATAAGAGCTCTGCCCTGTGGTATTAATGCATATAAACCTTTACCCAGCTCGTCTATTACTATGTGTATTGATAAAGAACATATAGCAGCCATCCCTGGAGCAAAATATAATTAGTGTTCAGAATATTTCGATTTATTCGTTTCTTCCTTTTACTGCTTGGTTCTGTTCTCCCTTCTTGCATTGTGTCTTCCTTCCTTCCTTCCTTCCTTCCTTCCTTCCTTCCTTCCTTCCTTCCTTCCTTCCTTCCTTCCTT